GTAAATTTGTATTAGTAACGTAAAATCATGAGTATATATGAGTGTAAATGGGGTAGTAATTTTGTATGGGAGTTGGATGTGTGATTGGAAGTGAGTGTGCACCTTCATATCATAACTCGTGAATCTACGTATTAACGTTATTTGCATTTATGAAGCTAATTAATAATATCATGTGACGATTGTGATCACAATTGCAGTACAAAAATTCTCTGGTATAAATGGATATCGTGGGTTGTTTATGGTTGGATTTGCCATTTGGGCCTTGGGCCTCCATATACAGCTTTACTAGTTTCTGCTTTCTCTCCCCATGCCTTGACGCATGTCACCTTTGAAAACAATTGACTTTGGAAAATCATGGCACCAAGAACATATGGCAACAAAAAGAGATCCGGATCCTCTCCTGAGCAAAGGGTGAGAATCATCCTGACCAAGCTCATCAGGCCTTTGAAATTTTATCCAACGGCTACAAACAAGGAGTCCTCTCTAAAAATTATAATAATTGTAGTCGTTGGATAAAATTTTAACGGTCCGATGAGTTTGGTCAGGAAGGATCCTCACCCTTTGCTAAAGCAGAGGATCCTGATCCAACAAAAAGGACCACAATTCCTAATTTCCTAGTGAAGGGAATTTTCTCCCCTCCGTATGGGTTCCCCAGCTTGCATGCCAAACCCATCACGTTCGCTGTTTTCAAGCTATGAGAATAAATGGCCGAGATTTGATTGTTTTAGGGTATGTGCACTTAATGCACACAACGGTGAAACGCTATGAAAATTAAACTCGATACTTAAATATTCTTAATTCATTAAGCAACAAACCTTTCACAAGAATAAATTCTATTGCCCTACAAGTTAGAGCAAACTTTGTTGAATAATACAAAGATCCCAAATGCTTTTGTGATAAAAAATTTTACGCTTGTCGTGATGTGCAGATGCTAAATTACTAATTAACACGTACTAATTGTACAATTTTTACACGTCCAAGAAAAAAGTAATAAAATTGCATGAACAATCATTAAGATTCGAATGTGAACGGAAACCAGTGAGGAAGATTTGGCCATGATCCCAAAAGCCACCTAAAAATAGATGCATAGTGCTATCCCGTACTAATTAACGCCAGAATTCGATATAAAGCAAATGATGAAAAAAATGCAGATCTCCACATGCTTTGTCTCCTCCTCCTCCACTCCCAAGTCCCAAATGCCTTTAGAGGGCATGAAATTGCAAGTTTAATCCAAGACAAAATATGATGGGAATGCAAAGCACAACTAGGATTTGCATATTCACTTTGGGAAGACAAGGGGGCCGCACTAATAATTGTTTAGTTTGGGAATCATATCAATCTCCCATATATGAAATCATAATTCAACTACTAGTGTACTTAATCTCACTGTTTAGTGACTAACAACTCGCTGATTAGACTGCGTAAGAGCATCTCCAAATAAGATATTAAATTTTAAACATCAAAATGATAGTTGATAGCTTATGTGGCAATTTAACATTTTGTACAATATTTTGCTCCATCTAATATGTTAAATAATAATGTTATTTAATAAACTTTTTATCTTTTTGTGGAGTCCAATGATTAAGGCAACCAATCAAATATTTAAAAAACATAGCAACATTTATTATATATTATATTAATCTATTAAAATATTATTTAATAAATTTGACATCTGCTGTCAAATTTGACAGCAAAATGTTTCGCCTTCAAATGACTCAACGCCACCTAAGAAATTGAAGGCTCGGTTGGAAAGAGTTTGCTACCAATTTTTTCTGTTGTATGCCTACGTGGCAATTTTGACATTTCCTTTAAATATGCTCTAAGATAGTCCCAAACCTGTTTAATTATTTGGGGTCAATGGTTTCGTAAATTAAAAGAGAGGAGGATTGTTTGTGATCTCTGAGGTAAAAAATTGTGGAGATTGGAATGAAAAAAAGGAGGATTGTAATAATAGGGTGGGATGTTAAAGGTGGTGGAAGCATGTGATGCAAAGCTCCCACATCCACATGGTAGAAAAGCACAAGGAAAAAAGGTGCGGGTGAGAGCGATGGGAGTATATTAAAGAAACACACACTGCAAAATTAGGCTGCTGCAACCTATGAGCATATACAACAATAAAGTTTTATCTCACTAAATAGGGTGGGCTGTATAAATCATAGAACGACACTTGCACTTAGTTTTACGTCAAGTCTTCCGTTAACCCCAAGTACTTCATGTCTTTTCTTAGAGTCTCTTTTAAAATTTTCCTAGGTCTTCCTCAAATATTTAAAAAATATGTTTAATTTCTCTAACCATGTGACTAGCCAGTTTTTCAATCAATTATTTTCTCTCGTATCTATAGGGAGGCAGATTTTGTTGCTGATGCTCTTGCAACGGTTGGTCATAATGCTTCTAGTGCTTTTTGTTGGTCGAAATCTCTTCCGGAGGAAGCTTAGTTAGCTTGGCATTGAAATTGCTAGTGTTGGAAACTTATGAGTACATTTGTTTTGATGGGGATGGCATGTTAGGTGCCTTGTTTAAATGTAAGTAACACATCATGTTTCATCTACAGAGTCATTCCCAAATTGGCAGGTGAGTTCAATACGAACTTGTTAAGAGTTTTTGTTACCTCAAGTTCCCTGGTTTAGTAATCAAAATGTCATTATCCATCATAAGCAAAGTTGTTTAGACTTCAAATCCGTTATAGTAAGGTAATTAAGCTGCCTTAATCCATTTTTTCGATGTTGATTAAGATGATTTACTGGTAGGAACATTGAGATTAAGATCACCACAGTTAATCAACAAACTGTATTAGTGGGACCTTGTTCTAGTTGCTTGGTCTGCATCCAAACCCAACGGTCGAATTCAGAAAATTGAATAGTTGGGAAGTTAGGTTTGGACAAATAGAGGAGACTTCAAACTTGTGTGTTGTGGTGATCATTTTCTCAGCTTTTTTTCCATGCTTTCCTTCATTCTCACTAAAGCAGAAGTTGTAGAACTGCAGAAACAAGTGCTTTTGCTTAACTTGCAGTCTACCACTTCAGAAAAAAGCACCGATGCTGCTGCTGCAAAGTGCTGAATTATATGAATATACTAAGAACTCTATTTGGTGCCTACATATTTAAAAAAAAAAAGAAAAAAAGAAAAAAAAAGACGTTCTATAATTCATAAGTATTTTGAGTTTTTCTGCCTAGCAAGAAATACTTTTGACCGTATAAAATTGTTTCTCATCAATCTGGAAATAGTGAAAAAAACAAAGAATGCCTTACTAGATCTATGGGAATCGTGACATCCCTACCAATAATACGGACCAATAATTTAGCAGAAGTATATGTCCACACCGTGCCAAGGGAGTGTACTTATCTGTGTCCAAACTTCTGTCGTGCAATTTCCTACAAAAATGGAAAAATTTAACATTATATATCAGCTTTGGCCCACCTAAAAAAGGTATGGCACGCTGCAGTTATGGTGGTGGTGCCATGGATTTCTGTGTAGGATAATCTAGCTGACCTCCTTTGTCTACACTATTTATGTTTTGTATGTGTGTGTATCGGATATTTTGATCCCAATTTCCCATATTTGGTTCTTTGATTTGATTAATTTAACTCAATAATACGAATATTACAATCTCAGTTTTTTTTTTTCCCAACAAAATTAATTGCATTTTAAAAAAAGTGAAGTTAGGTTTATTGATCATATAACGACAATTTATGAGTCATCATCCTTAATATCGATATAAGTTGAGCTTTAAATCATAATATTGAAGATGATGTCCAAAACTTAACATCAATGATGTATTAAAGACAAATCCGCATTTTAAAACATGCCGTTGATAACATCAGCACCTACCCTCAAACCTTCAATAACTCTCACTTTTGACGCCATTGATGGCCCCTTCCTATCTACTTTGTAACAGTTTTTTAAATCCATAAAAAATCAACAATGCGGACCACGAGGGCTTTTAGCCCCTGCCTAACCAATGTGCATCATTATTCACTAGACTTTGGGCTGCTGAACCTGTTCGAGCACAGCCGTGCTAATGCTATATGTAGTTAACAGTACAACTGAGGTCGAAAAAAAATTGCATGCAACCTGTGTGATCTTCATAATATCTCGTTTTTGTATCTCTCGTCTCATGATATATTAAAAAAATAAAAAAAAGACTCGAACGCCAGTACCTCTTGTCTCGTTTTTGTAACTCGTCACATGAATGTTGAAAAAGAAGAAGATTTGATAACAGAACCTCGGGTTAAGAAATACTAAGAGGACTCTTATAAAAGTGAGATTTTTCATGTACTCTTTGACACCTCTTATTTTTAACATATATCTTATAACATTAGCAACAAAATTGATGTTAAATTGTAAGATAACATAGAAAAATTTTGGTTCAAAGAAATTCAAGTATGAAGAGGACAAGGTGAGCTGTTGTTTTCAAGAAGTCACACCGGAACATGATACACTGAAGTGGCAAAACTAGAAAAAGATCAGTTTTTTCTTCTTCTATTAACTGCCACAAAATCTGTAAAACGTGGGACCATCATCAACGGAGTCTATGACTAGAGAAATTTTTAATTGTGACGAAAATACGGATGGTATATCACATGTTTTTATGTAAGTGGTAAAAAAATTTAGTTTTTAAGTTATTAACTATTTTAACACACATATTCTACCATTTATATAGCGACAAGTAGTATATCATTCCATGTGAGGATGACACTGAAAAATCTCTCCTATGACTGGAGAGAGTGTGAGGCCCAGCAGGGTTATGGACTCTAAAAGGCCATGTGATGTGGGAGATCACCAGCTGGCTGTGTCTAATTTGTGTGGGACTATTCTTTCCGTCCAAAAGGGCAAAAGTGAGAAATCACACCGGGACACACTCCCTTGCGGGAAGGGTGTGCGACGAGAGACCGTTGCAATTGCAAAAGCAGGTGAAGGGGCGTTTTGGGAAAGAGTGGCACAAAAATTTTCAAGGGGGGGGGGGGTGAGAACTGTGAGAGGAGTGAAGCGCAAGGAAAAATGATACGGGTGGCTGTCCCAGCAAGCAGTTACCCGCTCATTTCCCCAACTACCCTTCCCTCTCCTTTCTTCTTACAGTATTTTTACTTTCTCTCTCCAACGCTCCTTCCTCGTCACAACCAGCTGAGCTGCTCAGCTTTCTCTCTCTACTCCCTCCCTCTCTCTCTCTACACTCTCTCTCCTCTTCTTTTTCTTTTTTTTTTTCTGGCTCATGTGTAGTTGTCATTTCACTTTCCCGATTGCTCAGAAAATGAGAACGGTTTGATACCTCTCTCTCTGCTCCTTTTTTGTATTGAATTCTTCATCTCTCTCTCTCTCTCTCTCTCTCTCTCTCTCTCCCCTCTGTCTGTCTTTCTCTCTCTAGCTATCTGGCTATCTTCCCCAGTAGCAATGGAAGCGGCAGGAGAGGACTGCTGCGTCAAAGTGGCGGTTCACATCCGGCCGCTCATCGGAGACGAGAAGCTTCAGGGGTGTAAAGATTGCGTCACTGTCGTCCCTGGGAAGCCTCAGGTACAACCTCCGCAATCTCACTCTCAGCCATTGATTCTACCGCTTTCTCTCTGTGTCTCTATCTCTACCTCTATCTCTCTAGGTAACTAGTTGTGTTCTAGATTAACTAACCGAATTCGAAGAATCGAACTTTTGGGAGATCTAGATCCAAATGTGCTTACTGAGTGAGCATCAGGATTGCATGCTTCACTTGGCAATCTGATTTCGGATCAAAATTCGCCTTAAATTTGTGTAATTTATCGAGTTCCAGAACTTGAAGAACGGGGAATTATTTGATTTGAGGGATATTCTAATTTAATCTAAACTACGGGATGGAGATTCAAGTCACAACTTATTGATTGGCCGACGTTGGGAGGGAAGCTAATGAGTCATGACCGCATTTCCTTTTATTTCAATCCCGAAAACTTGTGACTTTTCCTGGAAATCAAACTTTCTTTCTGGGTTTTGCTAACATTTTGGCAGATTTTCTGTTGGTTTTAATTATTTGCGAGCAAAAAGGGACCCTTTTATAAAATTAAATTAAATACTTTTTTCTCTCATTTCGTATTTGGAATGTGTGGTGCCTGTTACATTTGTTGGTTTTGAATCTTATGTACTCTGGGATTACTTCAAGTCTCAAGGTTCTTAACAACTTGAGCAATGCTGATGCGTGCAAAGGACCAAAAGCACGAGTATTTATGTTTAATCTACGAGCTGATTGTGACAATGGTGCAGGTACAAATTGGGACGCATTCGTTTACTTTTGATAATGTCTATGGGAGTACCGGTTCTCCCTCATCTGCAATGTTTGAAGAACGTATAGCTCCGCTGGTGGATGGTTTGTTTCACGGATATAATGCTACTGTCCTAGCGTATGGTCAGGTGGTTACATTTTTCTTGGAGAGCCGAGATTGCATGTCTTGTAGTTTACTGTTTTTATATAGGCTTACCTTACAATTTACTGTCATTTGTGTTAACCTCTTAATTCTACTGCAGACGGGTTCTGGAAAAACATATACCATGGGCACTGGTTTTAGAGATGGTTGCCAATCAGGAATTATCCCGCAAGTTATGAATGTACTGTTCAGCAAAATTGAAAATTTGAAGCATCAAACTGAATTCCAGTTGCATGTATCTTTTATTGAGGTTTGTCGAAGTGTGTTATATTCTCAATCTTGTTAAAAGATTTTACAATCTTTTGGACTATTACGTAGCTGCGTTGCATTATTTAAATCTAACTAAGAGACTTTGATGCGCAGATTCTAAAAGAAGAAGTACGAGACTTGCTCGATCCTAGTTTTTTGAGCAAACCAGAAGGTGTAAAAGAAGGTGCCAACGGGCATGTGGTGAAATTAGCATCCCCTGGAAAGCCACCAATACAAATTCGAGAATCATCAAATGGTGTTATTACACTGGCAGGATCCACTGAACTCAGTGTAAGTACACTAAAAGAAATGGCTGCTTGTCTGGAACAAGGATCATTGAGCAGAGCAACAGGGAGTACAAATATGAACAATCAATCAAGGTAAATTATGCACCTTCCTTTTCATTGAAGTTTTATGTATTTCTCCTGAATCCGGTGATTTTTTGCTACTACAATGGCTTAAACTAGTTGACTAAGGCTTTTGGGGAATGTACATCAACTGGTATTAGTTCTTCGCTGAGCTAAAAGACTTACCTTTTTTTCTGAAATTTTTATTAAATGTGTAAAGACAATATTTTTGCCTTCTAATTCTTGAGAAAGAGTTGGTCCTTTCCAAAATAAGGTTTTATAAACTTAAAATACATTCAGTATGTGCCACTGGTTTCAATTAATGACTCGTGACTTTTCTTTTTATGTTTACAGTCGCTCACATGCCATCTTCACCATTACATTAGAGCAAATGCATAAGGTCAACTCGGCATGTAATGAAAACAACGGTCTTAATGAGAGTATGAATGAAGAATATCTATGCGCCAAGTTGCATTTAGTAGATCTTGCTGGGTCTGAGCGAGCCAAGAGGACAGGTTCCGATGGCATGCGTTTTAAGGAAGGTAAATACCATTCTTTTATCACTTTTTGTATCTAAAGTGCATTTCTGTCATACATTTTCATGTGAATGTTCTTTTCTATTAAACAGGAGTTCATATTAATAAGGGTCTTCTTGCCCTTGGGAATGTTATCAGTGCACTTGGTGATGAGAAGAAGCGCAAAGAAGGTCTTCATGTGCCTTATCGAGATAGTAAACTTACTCGGCTTCTGCAGGTTTGGTTCCATTCAAGAATTTGTAGAATTTTGTGGTAAAGTGTTTGACAAAATGTTCTTGACTAAATTTATACTAAATATTATGTCCACGAAGCTCCTATGAACTTTTCTTTTCTTTTTTTATTATATTTTAAGTTTATACTAAATACAATGATTTTTGCAGGATTCGCTTGGTGGTAACAGTCGAACTGTTATGATAGGTAACTTTATTAGGTTAGAAAGTTTTTTGCTTAATGACAGTGGAAGGGATGTTACAAGCACCTATCTGCTGATTATTATATCCGTCTGTCCGCATGATACATGATACTGCCATGTTTTTCCTGATGTCACACAGCCTGCATCAGTCCTGCTGATATCAATGCTGAAGAAACCCTGAACACTTTAAAGTATGCAAATCGTGCTCGCAATATCCAAAATAAGCCTATCGTAAGTTGTTCAGAATGAAGCTTGTCCATGGTTTTCATTCGGAGTTGTTACCATTGTAGATACTAGGTACAGAATTTCTACCTTTTGTAACGGTGTCATTTATGTGGCTTTTCTGATTTGTTGTAACAGGTAAATAGAGATCCCATGTCCAATGAAATGTTAAAGATGCGCCAACAGCTAGAGTTTTTGCAAGCTGAACTTTATTCACGTGGAGGAGGATCTTCTTCTGATGAAGTACAGGTATGATTTCTGTGAAGCGTTATGTCTGATTTCTTCCATTGACGGTCAGAGTTACCCCAGCTGTACTATTGTATAGCTCCATTAAAAAAAAAACCCCAATTGATAAAACTGTGACTAATTTTTTATTACTGGAATAGATGTCCTTGTCATTTTCTTTCACATTTTTAGGTATGAATATATCATTTTCTAAGTGATTTTACTAATTATCTAGGTTCTCAAGGAAAGAATTACTTGGCTTGAAGCTGCTAATGAGGATCTTTGTCGGGAACTTCATGAATATCGCAGTAGATGCAATGGTGTAGAGCCATGTGAAAGAGCTTCTCAAGTATGTGTTACATGCTCTAGTAGAGATTGACGCTATTCTTTCATCTTGTTTCTTTCAAGTACTAATATATATTATTTTGACTTGTAACTTGTCTTGGTTTCTTATTGTAAACTATGTATGACCAACTAGAAAGATAGATTTGCAGATCTAAAACTTCATTTTGCAGGATGATAGCCCCTGCTCTGTCAAAAGCGATGGCCTAAAAAGGGGTTTGCAAAGTTTAGAACCGGCTGACTATCAAATGGGTGATGCGATAACAGGTATTGCTTATCTCTGGTTTAGGACTTTGTCGACAACATTTTCTTCTCACAATTAAATCATCTGCAACTATGTAAATTTTGTTATTGTTTTCGCAAATAAGCTATAGCTCATGTGCATCGATAGTGTTGGGGAAGTTCATTAAAGTGGAGCTATTTTACGTATGGTACAATTTCCTATTTTAGCAGGCGATTCCCAGGAAATTGATGAAGAAGTAGCAAAAGAATGGGAGCACAACCTTCTGCAAAATACCATGGACAAAGAGTTGCATGAATTGAATAAACGTCTACAGCAAAAAGAGGTATCATTTACGTATGTATATTGTTCTGTATTAAATCAAAATCACATTAATGTCATCACAGAGTTTATGTGTAACTTTGCATTTGACGCTTGTGCAGTCGGAGATGAAATTTTTTGAAGGGTCCGACACTCTGGCACTCAAGCAGCATTTTGGAAAGAAAATTTTGGAACTAGAAGATGAGAAAAGAACTGTGCAGGTTCACTTAAAACCTTTATACTTGATGGTCTTATTCTGGAGAGAACCGATATTCAAGTTTGTCCTTGTTTCATGCTGCAGCAAGAGAGGGACCGATTGCTGGGTGAAGTTGAAAATCTTTCTGCTGGTGATGGACAAACACAAAAGTTGCAAGATGTTCATAACCAGAAGTTAAAGGCACTTGAGGGACAGGTAACCGTATTTCTTACTACTAGATTGTTGTTTCTTTTGGACAAGCAGTGGACTTCGTTGTAATCCAATTGTGGCATCTTGTTCAATGTTTTTATACCAGATTTTGGATCTTAAGAAGAAACAAGAAAGCCAGGTTCAACTTTTGAAGCAAAAACAAAAAAGTGATGAAGCAGCAAAGCGGCTGCAAGATGAAATCCAGTCTATAAAGGCACAAAAGGTTTAGACTCATTACTCATACTTTTTTCCTATCAAGGCTAAAATTTTCTCTGCATCTACTCATATGGTTTACATATTTATTCAATAATAGGTTCAACTGCAACAAAGGATAAAACAAGAGGCAGAACAATTTCGGCAGTGGAAAGCCTCGCGAGAGAAGGAATTGCTGCAGGTATTTGCTTTCTTCATTTCCTTTTCTTTTTCTCTGAACTTTTAAAGTTAAATGGAACTGAAGCTCCTGCCATTTTACATAAAAGTATATAGTCTATGAATTATTACTCTGTACTAATCTATCAGATGGAGCGAGTGCAAATTGGAAATTGCAGTAGGATTTAGAGCCCAATTACCTGTATATTTGCTTATTAGGTAGTATATGCATAAAACAGTAGAGGGTGGAAATGAGTATGACAATGTTTTAATTATTTCGTCTGAATTGGATTTCCTCTATTAATTATTGCTCCCTACCTTGATTTATGTTTGCTATAATAGTTACGGAAAGAAGGGAGGAGAAATGAATATGAAAGGCATAAGCTGCAAGCGTTAAATCAACGCCAGAAAATGGTGAGTATATCTCAGTTGCTTATTTCCCTTATTAATAGAAAACCTAGTTTGGGAATATTATCCAAATTGCTGCCTTCATTACAAGCTCCATGGTACGTGACATAGTATTATGGTAGTTGAATTAAATACTGTCCATTCTTTCAGGTTCTTCAAAGAAAGACTGAAGAGGCCGCAATGGCTACCAAGAGGCTGAAAGAATTGCTAGAAGCTCGTAAATCTTCTGCTCGTGACAACTCAGGTATGCTTTTTATTGTGCAGTCCTGGACACTCGTTGCATTCATAATTGCATTCGTTATCTCCAAGGAGGTATTGAAAGATGAAATTCACCTTCATATGTAATCACCAAGTTCTAAAATTACCTCATATGAGAAGAAATGCCATCTTTATAACATAGGGTCTTCACGCTTCCACTTCACAGCACAGGTCTTCTCCTTTATTGTTAAACTTTCTAATTGTGTAAACTTTTACCAGTTGTTGCCAATGGAAACGGGACACATCAACAGGTAATGCTCTTTGATTCCTCTTCTTTCCATATGTTTTCTGTTGTTCCCTTTGGATTTTGAATCCTTCTAACTCAAGTTGCACCACTAGGGCAACGAGAAATCCTTACAACGGTGGCTTGATCATGAGCTTGAAGTTATGGTGAATGTGCATGAAGTTCGTCATGAATATGAGAAACAAAGTCAAGTGTAAGAATAAATATATGTTCATTTAATACTTGCATTTATCAGATATATTTTTGGAGATTTTAGTTATTAAAAGCTGTGATATCCAGACGAGCTGCACTGGCAGAAGAGTTGGCCATGCTGAAACAATTAAACGAATTTGCTTCGAAGGGCCTTAGTCCTCCAAGAGGAAAGAATGGCTTTGCCCGGTATGTTTGATGTTAAACAATTATGTATACATAATTCTGTCTTCTTCCACATTTTACAGTTTGCAATCTGATGTAATGGTTAGCATGAAACATATAGAATACTAAAAATTTTAATCTTACTCTCTGGTGGTTTATTTATGTATTTTGTTTGTTCAGAGCATCCTCCATGTCACCTAATGCACGAATGGCCAGAATATCTTCACTTGAGAACATGCTTAGCATAACATCAAACTCCATAGTAGCAATGGCATCACAACTTTCAGAGGCAGAAGAACGGGAGCGTGCCTTTACCAACCGTGGACGTTGGAACCAATTGCGCTCAATGGCAGATGCAAAGAACTTGCTTCAATATATGTTCAATTCTCTTGCAGATACAAGGTGTTTCGATGTGTTCTGAATGATTTTATTTAACCTTTGTTTCCTTGCAGATGCAATACGAATATTGATGTATCAGTCTGGCCTGGTTTTATTTTACCTTTTTTTTGTGTTACGAAATTCTAAATATCATTCCACATGCCGACAGGTGCCAGTTGTGGGAGAAAGAAATGGAAATCGATGAAATGAAGGAGCATCTCAAAGAACTCGTAGGTTTGTTGCGGCAGAGTGAGACACGAAGAAAGGAAGTTGAGAAGGAACTAAAAGTGAGAGAGCAAGCTGTTGCAGCTGCATTGGCAACATCTGCCTCAGTGAGAATATTAGTTATTGTGTAACATTTCTTCTTGTACTCTTCTTAACCTTGGCTAACGTATGTGAATGATTTTTTTGTGTGCATCTTTGTTACTTTTAGGCTGGCCATGATCAGGAGAACTCACAGAATTCACTGAAACACTTTGCTGATGACACGAATGGTCCCTTGTCCCCAATCTCCGTGCCAGCACATAAACAGCTGAAATATACAGCAGGCATCGCCAACGGCTCAGTCAGAGAATCAATAGCTTTCATAGATAAGACACGAAAGGTCAATTTCATCCTCCTTTCAATTGCAGAGTTGTTACTTGTTTTCTGTTTTTGGCTAAGAAAGCTAAGAAAGTGCGATTTTCTGTTATTGCAGATGGTACCCATTGGGCATTTGCCAACAAAAAAACTAGCAGTTATAGGGCAAGCTGGGAAGCTATGGAGGTGGAAGAGGAGTCATCACCAGTGGTTAGTACAATTCAAATGGAAATGGCAGAAGCCTTGGAGACTCTCGGAATGGATTAGGCACAGCGATGAAACAATCATCAGGACCAAACCTCGCTTACTAGGTCAATCGTGATGTAATGTTCTGCAGTCATCTGCCTATTGTTGCCCGATTTTCATCTTTGACCTATAAGCATCATCCCAACGCATAGCATAGGGAACTCGAGAATCAAGTACAGGTACTATAAAGTCACAAAAGTTATGATTGAGAATCTCGTATGTATCAAAATAACTTGTTCAACAAGATGGCTTAGCACAGCGATTAACCTACTTTGACTGTTTTGAATAATGCAGTGTGCTATAAGTAGCCGTTGAGGATATTTGCTACTGTCATGGAGATCATTTTGGGAAGCATGGGTTTTTATTGAAAGTTTTGCAATGGTTACTGCGCTCGGAGCATCTTGTAAATTCGTGTTGATGCTGCCGATGATATACTGTGTAGCTAGAAGCCGACACCAATGGTGCAAGACTGCAAGTGGTGATATACTAGTGAACGGAGAAATTGAGCCATGTAATTTTATAGCACCTTCTGTTAATAACAACACAACTTGAGGGGAGCACCTTTCTGTTAATAACAACACAACTTGAGGGGAAAAATCCTTCAGGTTACAGAAATATGTATAAAAGGCTCTCTTTGTCGTTCATTTTTAGAATGTCGTTTGTGTGTAGCGTTTTCTGTTGCATCGAAGTTTTCGAAGAAAGGGAAAATTCTTTTGTAGATTACTTTGTTCCTTGTGTAAACATTATAGTTATTCCATTGGCAGAGATTGCTTCTTGTATGCCTATCTGTAATAAATCCTTCCCTTTGTATGACATATACGTATGAAATCGTCGGTTCGACGTAGCCACCTAAGCCTGAGCAACAAGAAAAGTTCGGTAAGGCAGCTCTCCCACCGGGTAAGATCAGCATAGGTCAGATCGGATGGGACCAAGATACAGAGAGAGTTCATGTTTTTGTAAGAGATGCCCCTATGGATACGTGAGTCAGAGTGTCCCTACCCACGTTTTTCTCACGAGCGATGTTACTAACCATCCATAGAGACCTTGATTAGAACACCATTTGTACCCAAAAAGAAAGTTGAACCACGTTGCCGTATTTTCTTGTGAAAAAAATTTGATTACTACAAGGTATTACAAGATTCTAAACTAACTGATACAAGATAAGGTATTTTATCGATACATTCCAAACCAACCGATACACAATCTGGACAACCTGAACTGAACCATAATATGCATATGTTTTGTTTGCTGATGGTCAATATCTAACAACGCGGACCATTTGAGAGGAGCTGGGATCAGTAGTAGCTACTCCATCAGAGGCTCACAGAAGTGGAATGATAGTACAGAATCACACGCGATGAGAGTAGCATTGCAGAAGTGGGCTTGTATCTGTACATCAAGTTTGGCAACACCAGTATGCGTAGTGCTCGTCTTTGCGATGATTGCTAACAAGACCTCCACACTGTAAACAAATGAAGCTACTCCCATCTGAAAATGCATCCAACACAACCTGCATCCTGCCAGTTTCCGCCAGTATGGAACTTCCTTGATCATCAGGTCCAGCACCAACTGACGGACCACCCACGTTACCTGCTGCTTCTGGTTCAGTCGTAAAAGGATGAGCTTCGGCAATTGCACACTCCGCAAACAAAGAAGCTAGTTGATCAGCAGCAGCACTTTCTTGCAATCTACTTCTGTACAGCTCACGAGCACGATGCAAGGACTGAAATACAGCCTCTTCCCCACCCCTTGTTCTCATTGCCATAACAACCTGTTCCGAAAACGAAATTAGCATCATGGACACACTTCTCTTGATTCTTAAAACTTGTAACAACATAAATATGTTATCTGTTCGTACTCGTAGTAGCTCCATGTTTAACATTTAACATGACCGCAGGAGCATCTACATACATTCATCAGACACACAAACGAGGTACCAACATCTAGACAAGTCTCTCACTACGAAGCTCCCTCTAAGGCGGTGCTTGGTGATCTCCAAAATCACGACCCCAAACGCCATAACCACCGGCCAACACTACCATTTTGTCAACAGTTAACTACTCGTCTACTCCTACTAGACAATTACCAAGTAAATAATTATCTTTCCTCATCCAACAACTTACGCCAATCCTTCGTGTTCAACTTCGAAATCCTGTATATGCTAACACGCATATCTACTTTTGCTCCAAATTTATACACACTATAACTAGTAATGTTCTCTTTACACATTCAGGCATGAATCCAATCATTTTCTTTAAAAAAAAAAAAAAAAAATCAGTACAAAATTGGCAGGGAAGACAGTATAAACCCTAAAATTCAAATCGCATTAATGAGAATTAAATCAGTTTTACTCAATTCCATGGACGATGCGAATCAAACAGAAGGAAAATGGGAGGAAGTTGATAAGTTATAAAAATTTAATAAATAAAAAATGAAGTTGAAGATTACCGCTTGAAGGGCCTGGGAAGGCTTGCCTTGATTAAGGAGCTGGCGAGACAATGTGAGCAAGTCCCTAACGACGTCGCCTTGGCCGGTGTTGGACGGCGCCGCCGTCTCCATCATCTCCGTGTCCGTATGGTTCATGGTGGCATTCTCTAATCCCGAAATTGTACGCCGAGTTCGGATTGGTCTTAATATTTATATATTTGTTGGGTGAGGAAATGTTTGATGAAAGAAAGGTGGAGGATTCTAGCAAGTTCTTCAGGTTAAAGCTGTCGGCTTCCTCAGCCATCTCTCTCGCGGATATTATGATGTTTTCATGTTATGGGCTTTCATTTCAGATCCTTCCTTTGTGGGCCTGTTTATTTATTGGGCTTCTTGGACCTGTCACGTTTTCCAGTCCAATACATATTTTTCAACAATCATTTTTTTTTTTGTCATCAGATGGACCCTCCTATACATATTATCCAACACGAGTTGAGTGGGACCAGGGCAGAACTGGGCGGATCCACTTAATTGTGAGCGTGGAGGAATTTACATCACCGAAAAACCCGTCACATAGTGTTACGATTTCACATTCCCTTGATTATATGGGTGTTGATCTGTGAAGTCCATGATGGCTTTCACGCTCCACCACTTGTAAAGTCCATGTAACGTTATGAATCTTATAAAAATAGCAAGAATGTAACCAGTTAAAAAGCACAATCATATGCTGCCTTCATGTCACCACCTAATTTCTCTCAACTTTAATAGCTCTTCATCATTTGAATTTACACCTTGTTAGGCTGTCCCTATACATTACTTTCACACAGCTCACTGTCCTTATCATTACCTTATAAATTAGGACACGGTGTCACATGTTAGACTTTCTCACATGACAGTTTTTGAATGATCTAAAATACAGCCACAATAATTTATCACCCCCCCCCCCCCCTCACTCCCCACCATAAACAAACATATCTTATATAGTAAAGCTCAATTTCTCCAACACTAGGACACAATGTCATGTGTTAAACTTTCTCATATTACAATTTTTGAATGATCTGAAATACAGCCACAATAATTTATCACCCCCCCCCCAAACAAACATATCTTATATACTAAAACTCAATTTCTCCAGCACTATTCATCAACCGTGAACGGATGGAAAAAGATCACAAATAATGTAGCAGAGATAAAAGTGACCATCAATTTCTCCAGCACTATTCATCAACCGTGAACGGATGGAAAAAGATCACAAATAATGTAGCAGAGATAAAAGTGACCATTAATAACTAATATATCATAATCATGTGTGATAAATCTATTTCTTTTCTACAAATAGTTTGCTAGCCAGCTAGCTAGCATGTGTGTTCATCTCAATTCACTTTCAACCTCCTCCATGGATGATATCGTCTCCTTTTTAATCTCCTGTAACATCTTCAACACCTGCCACATGGTTGGTCTCTGCTCCGGCGAAGTTGAACTGCAAGCGATCGCCACCTCCAGCAGCATTGCCATCTTATCATGCCCATCGTCATGGTCATCTTCCCTCAAAGATCTCACCCATTCCATCGTATCATCCGGCGCTAAGACTAAGTGTTTCGATGGAGGCTTCCCCGTGAGAAGCTCCACCAACAAAACCCCGAATGCATAGACATCGGACTTTGGAGTTGGTTGCCGCCGTTGTCGATAATGATCGTGATCGTTTGACGAGTTGGTGCGAGTCTCCGGGGCTTTGTACGCAGTTGAATCGGGTCCTCTTCGGACGTTGGGGTAGGGGTGGCGAGAACGGAGAGGCAGTAGTCGGTGAGACATGCTTCGAAGTCGGAGCCAAGAAGGACGTTGGAGGACTTGAGATTGCCGTGGACGAGCTTCCATGCTTGGTGGATGTAGGAGAGGCCTTGCGCTACGTCCTCCGCTATTTTCAAGCAGGATGTCCAGTGCAGCGGCCTTGCCCTAGTTGATTTCCCTGCAACGCATTAATCATATTAGGGACTCGGTTCAAGGTTAATTAATTCAGCAGATTCCTGCACTTAATCACAAGCAAGATTCTCGGCGCCGAACCAAATCTAGTACAATCAATCATGTGCTAATAATCCAATTCGAATGATAACCCCAAAAAGTACGTAAACGTGGTATTTAAAGAAAGTGAAATTTAAGAACGCTTACTTGTCAATCTCCTATTTGCCTCCCCTCAAATTCTCTATAAAGTTTTCAATGTGACTGGCACACGAATGATACATCATGTGTCATTATACAAATAGTGAAATATGTGCGTTAAAAACTTAATAACTTAAAAATTAAAATTTCTCACTATTTACATAACAATATGGATACCACTCTTGTTCCCTCACAATGAAAATTTTCTCTAAATTCTTAATCAACAAAATAGTCAAAAGAATCAAACAGCAGACAAACCGAGTCAAACCAGCTCGCTACTCGCTCGCTCACTCAACTGAAAGATTGAAACATTACCGTGAACGAGGGAGAAGACGCTGCCGTTAGGCTGGTAATCGTAGACGAGCAGCCGCTCGTCCTTCGCCTGAAAATATGCTCTTAGCGGCACGAGATTCGGGTGTCTCAGCGCACCCACCGACTCCAGGTGCCGCTCGAACACCTCTCTGCTAGTCCCACCCAGCTTCCCGGCATCGAGCCTCTTCACGCTCGCGATCAGGCGGATGTCCAGCACCGCCTTGTACGTCGTCCCGATCGTCCCCTTCCCCAGCAGCTCCGCCGAAGCCCGCATCAGCTGGTCCAGCGAGTACAGCTGCGGCTCGCCAGCGCAGAACATTAGGCTCCCGCTCTTCACCACTTGAATCCCCTGCGCCTTCTTCACCTTCTGCTCCAGCTCCTCCTCAATTTCCACGACCGCCGCCGCTGTTTCCTCCGTCGCGGTTGGTCCCGCCGAATTAACCTCTTTTCGGGTTTTGGATGTCCTCTGTTTCTTCACCGCCATTGCGAAACAGAGGAGGGAGCAGATCAGGAAGAAGACGCCGGAGGAAAAACCAATAATGACGGCAGTTCTTCTGTGTTTTTTGTGACTAGGCTGAGTCAACTCAACGCCCTGGCATATCTTCTGCACTGCTCTGCCCGAGCGCCCGAGCGGGCGGAGGGGCTCCGTGGGCTTGAGTAGTACCAAAAAACGTTGTATCGTTGCATTCTTTGTTCACAATCTCGCCGCAGAGGAATGGGTTCCAAGAGAAGGAGGATGCACCGAACCGGAGCAGAGTTGGAGTAACAGGGATTGCACCTAGTGAGGTTGTTTCCGGAGACATTGAATGTCTGGAGGTTGGACTGGTTTAGCGCCGGGACCGGTCCAGTGAACCGGTTCCATTCGAGACGAAGGTAGTACAGCCGGTCCAGATCGGTGATTAGAAATGTCGGTAATGATCCGGTGAGGTTGTTGTACGAGAAATCGACGGTTCGGAGGAGATGGAGGGAGGAGAGCGACGGCGGGAAGGAACCCGCGAAGGAGTTGTGGTCGAGGAAGAGGGTTTTGAGGTTAGTGAATCCAGCCAGGTCAGGAACCGGTCCGGTAAGCGAGTTGTTCTGCAGACTCAGGACTTTGAGTTGCTCCAACCGAGTCAGGGTGTCAGGCGCGAAAATGCCGCCGAGGTTCTGGGACTTGATTACGAGGCGAACTATTTTGTACCGGGCGGCGCATTGGACACCGGTCCAGCGGCAGAAGGACTGGACGGCGGTGGCGTTGGAAGAGAAGGGGAGGGCGTCATGTAAATCCGCTTTGGATTTGAAGGCGACGAGCGCGAGAGCGTCGGGTGGGAGAGATGGATGAGCGAGGGGAGGCCTAGAGGAAGTAAGTGTGGAGGTGCAGAGTGAGAGAAGAAGTAAAAGGAGCTGCCATTTCTTGAGCATTGTAGAAGAAAGTTAAGAAACAGAGCGTAGCTGCCTCTCTCTGGTCTGTAATTTACAGAGAAGTCATGGAGAATAAGAGAGGGAGGGGGAACAGAAAGGTCACAAAAGCATCTATGAACTAAGAGGAGCAGGTGTCGGATCCAAAAGCTCAGAGTCACGTGAAAGTAAGTTCTCAAAGCCAGAGGCTAATTTTAATCACACTTTAATCCTCGTAAATCGAAAGTCGTTACTTAATCTTTAAAATTATGTTCGTTCAACTTTATTTTTTAGATCTCGATTTTAATTTTATTTTACATCATGAAACTTAAAACTCGATTTTATCTCATTTTAAACAATCATCTAAATGTCGTTTTTGCAATATTTCAACTAATATGAAGACTATTTAGTCAATTTATATGTAAAATCAAATCAACGATTATGATAACAATTAAAATCCTCACAAATAAAACATTGATTTATTTTATACATACATCACTAAAAATTTCAAGTTCAAGAAGTATTTGCCTAAAGTTTTAAATAATGATTAAGAAAATGAGCGACTTTGATTAAAATACGTGTACAACGAGAATTCATTCATCACAATTGAGTGAACAAGAAGGTATACTCAAATGTCGTTCTATTCACATGTTACCATACATAGCATAATATGATTTCTTATATTTTTATTCTTTTGTCACTTGATTTACTAAAGTGATTGATGGTGAGCAATTTTAGGGACCACTTATGTGGATTTTAAATCTTAGAGGCCAAAGTGAAGAGTTATGCCAATCTCATGGACTATTTTGGCTAAAAAACCTTTCATCTAAACTTTTTTTATGTAGTTAAACATAGAGTAACCAAAACTAAAGAAGGAAGGCAAACAAGCATGTTACAATTAAAGTTAAGAATTTGGAAGAGTATTGTTCACGTTCATTCATCATTTGATCGCTGATTTTCACTTTCTCGTTTTTTTTTTTTAACTTCAGCACTCTAATTTGTTTATCATCTTTATTTTCGTTTGATTTATCAAATTATGTAAGACAAAACTGAGAAAAAAAAATACAGACAGATGTCACTTCCTACATGAGAAGAAAACAAAATGGCTATTGTTTATACACGGACCCCATGAATCTAGCAGTGTCCTTAAAAAGAAAGTGATATCAACGTCATGTGATTGAATAGCATTGTCCGTGAATTACAAGGAGGAAGCATTTTGCTTTGATTTTGCAGGACACGTTAGTAGTTGTATTTCTTTCTTCTTTACAAGGGGGCCCAATGCCTTCGTAAATAGGCCCAAATGTTACGTTGGATACGTCGGCCTAAGTTTAGAATCGTGATTTATTTGGGCCTAATTACCACAGGTTATGGACTAGTCGTGTTGGGCTTCCTTTCCAGCCTATACATCTTTTCTCTGTTTCATTTGAACGGGGGATTTGCCATTACCAACTAACTTGGGCTAAATATAATTAAAAATGAACTACAAAAGATTAGAGGCGGGGATTAAGAAATGAGTCGATGCAATGCATTTAGAGAGATTTATAAAATGACTACTTAAAAGAAGTCATTTGTAGTCATTTAGTATTACGGTTTAGTGATATTTTTTTCACTTGTAAGTGATATGTATTAGATTCGATTTTCGCCAAAGATGAATTTTAATCACATTATTATCGGTCCATTGTGAGGTTTAGCCCACTCACTCTCCCTTTTAGTATAGATAATATCATTTGTTCAAAAAAAAAAAAAAATGAAGTCATCTGTAGTCAATTCTAATTACGTATCTAAATCTCTTGGTACTTGTAAATTCGTTGTCCAAACGTAACCTAAATTCAACAATTGTGTACATAAGTTTTGAACTAAAGCTCCTCTAATAATAATCAGGCTAATGTAGGCGGACCAAATGATCATTCGTTACTCAACTCAAAGTAGTAGGTACCATCCAAAAATTTCCACTATGATGAAAAAAAAAAAAAAAGATTCCTCACAAAATTTCCTCTCAAAACTCTCTTTCACAATGAAAAAACACTTTAATCTGTTATGAAAATAAATAACACCTAAATCCAAATTGTTACTAGTCTTTTTACACACGTTTTTGTGCATGCGAAAACCTTTTTTAGTAACTGTTTGTTCTTATTTAGCATTTGTATTTTATTTTTTAACATGTGAATAAATACTGAATTGTAAAGTATTACGATTTTGGTGTGGAGCTTTGAAGTGCCACTGCCACCGCCCTCTTTATCTTGTAAACCAAGCAACATTTGAATATTTTCCATCCTTATCCCCCACGACTTTTTTGAGTAGTGCCCCTCCCCATTGATAATAAAAAGAGATTCTCAGTTCCATATTGGTTTCCAACCACTTCCAAATTTGCATCATTCCAACCGTCATCTTGTAACCATTTGTTTTTATAAGTAAAACTCGACGGCAAGCATACACCAAAGTGGCGGCGTAGTTGGATCAGAGGTGTACAACGAGCCGAGTAGTTGAGATCATGTCCCAAGGCCTCCATGGCCGTCTAAAAGCAGGAGAGATTTGAAGAATTGGCACAGCCAAATCAAACAGTGGATGCTTAGTGGCTAGTTCCACTTGGTACACTTATTTTGCTTCCCACTTGCTGCATCCAGTGCAGCCCTCCAAATCTCCATTAACAGATAAATAGTAATTTAACAATAGATACTTACAAAAGTGACCAAATTTTAAATTCCAAATTACACAAGGATATATATATATATAATTGGTGGTGAGTTCATCGAACCGTCTGCCTTACCTCACTCACTCAACTAGGGCACAGGGGACATTTCCTACCTACCAAGCACTTGGCTCATGAAAAAGGTGTCCCCAGAAAGTGACATTGCTAAAAGGCCTTCAAGACTTAAATTTGCAGGTTCTTCTAGGATTGTAACAGAGGCAAATCACCCTCTTCTTTCTCTCTCTGGACAATTTTTTTGGACCATAAATTAGTTTTTGATAAAGCAAGCACCTTTCTCTTCTTTTGCGTTTGTCCATCCCCACTAACTTCGATTCTTAACTTGTCACAAAGTGTGAAAATTTTGAATGAACTAGATGAATGAACGGTTAGATGTGTGGTCAAGGATTTAATGGCTAAGGATCCAACGGTGCATACTATGCTCCGATCTTTGAAATCGCACAAAGTGGGTTATATAGAAATGCTCTCTAAAGGACCTCCATCCTTTAACAAATGATTGTTTTGTATCAATAATGTCGATAATGTATCAACAACACTTGAATATGTCGTGCTATTGAAATGTTATTATCCACAAATAATTGAGATTACGCCAGTTAATAAAGAATGGATATCCTATGCAGATAAGTGTCTTGTCCTATCCATTCATCCAATAAAAATTAAAAAGAAAAGCTACAACAATCGTTGGTTTCTTGATACAAACAATACTGAGGAAGGGTGGAATCAAACTGGAATCCTCTAGTGACCAACAAAGCTAAAAGGCAATCAAACTGGAATCATTGGTTTCTATTCATACTATGTTTTTATACCACATTTTCATATCATCTAGACGATATTTAATGTGAACATCCACATCATTTGACATTCTTTAATAAACTAATAATTAAGAAAAACTATTTAGCTAATGATGATTGTGGAATACAAGGAGTTTTTTTCCTTCCTTTCCTTGGGTTTTGCAAATTTTTCAAGTGATGTGACTATTTACATCAAATGCCACCTAAGGATCTAAGGTGGTATAAAAATATGGTATAAAAACATGGTACGAATAACATTACTCATAATTCTCATATTAAATGTACCATGCATTATGTTACACTGAAATAAGTGAAAAGAATGAATCACCATGTTTACATTGAAATTTTTACACCCACAAGCCTTGGAGAAGATGAACAAATTTAGTACGTCACGGTGGAGGAGGCAATGGAGGAAACAAAGAACCAAAACCAGGAAGCTTACATGGAATGTAAGTATAAGTCCACATGAAGGGACAAAACCTTGGGTGCGCAAAGAAATCCGCACATTCCTCCACCGGTCTCTGAAACAGAAGATCGGGAACACAGTTGTTCGTAACATCGAGCACTCCTTTCCCGATCAAGCTTCTACAAATCGGACCAACATTAGTGAAGTAATTATCGGACAGCGAAAAGTTCGCCAAGCTTTGCAGCTCATGACACAACACCTCAGGTACCATGCCATGCAACAAGTTACCCGCAAAATTCAGCTGCTCCACATTTTCGAGGCAGGCCAGTGAAAACGGTAACGGCCCGGTTAACTGGTTGTTTCCGAAATCTAAAACTACGGCCTGTTTTAGCAACCCTATCTCGTAAGGCAAGCATCCTGTGAGTTGGTTGTTTAGGAGCAGAATCTCAGTCAGAGCGGCGAAAGCTTTTGAAATGCCCGATGGAATTGAGCCCGTGAATTTGTTGTTTGCTAAGGTGAGAAGGAGAATATGAGAACTGCCGAGATTGTCGGGAAGATTCTGCATGAAATTGTTGTTGTTTAGGAATAGGGCGTCAAGTTCTTGAGTGAAAATCTGCGGTGGGACGGCCCCAGTGAAGAAATTGAACCTTATGTCCAAGAAACCTAAGGTGTTCATGCCGAGAACGGCGGAGGGAAACGCCCCGGAGAATTGGTTGTTGCTTATGTCGAGTTCGTAGAGGTAGGGGAGGTTGGCAATGGCGGGGGAGACTGTGCCGGAAAAATTGTTGGAGTTTGCATGGAAGAGGGCAATGTCCGGGAGCTGGTCGAGAAATCCGTCGAGAGAAGGGGCCCCTAGTTGGAATCCGTTGAAGTCGATCGAGGCGAGGGCAATGGCGGAGCTGTTGTTTGGAGGGCTGTCACAGTAGAAGCCTTTGTAGCTGCATATGTTGGATCCCACCCAAGTTTTTGTGATGTTTAGTGGATCTGAGGTGATGAGGGACTTGAAGTTTTGGATAATTGGGTAGACTATTTTGAGCCTTTGGTCTGCAAATACAAGTTCTTGGTTGTCTGGCAATTTTGTAGGAGGAGGTGCTTGTGGCGGCCGTAGTGGTACTTGTGGTGGTGGTACCGGTGGTGGTGGTGGTGGTGGTGGTGGTGGTGGTGGTGGTGGGGTTTTGTGCCTTAGGTGGCTTTTGTGTCCGCTGCCTCTTCTGCGGTGGCCACCTAAATCGAACTCGAGGGTTTGTTTGTTGGAATATTTTGTTACGGGATAAGAATTTTCATGCAACGGAAATGCTACTGCTACATAACTAGCAATACAAAGACAGGTTAGAAGAAATAAGAAGGTTGAGAATGAAACTAGAGCTTTGGTGGAATCAGGGCTTCTCATTCTTTCCTCAGAGATAAGAAAAGGCTATGATTTTCTTATGCTGGAGCAAATGGAACAAGACACTCACTGCTGGGGTTTTAATGCCAAATTATACACACTTTTTCATGATTCATAATTTTTTTTTTTTTTTTTACTCAACCGTAATTACTGATTTTTTTTTCTTAACTCATAATTTAATTTAAATTGAAAAAAAAAATCCAAAAGTAGTGGATGATTCATGATTGGGTGGCTCAACGAAGCACTAATTCAACACTTTTGAGACGTTCTATCCAAGTGTCAAACTTTTATATTGAATTAATTTCACACATTTAAAATGAAGAGAGTTGAGAAATAAAAATTTAAGGGCTTGTTTGGTAACTTATTTGAAATTTTTTATAATTTCTCAAAACATTTCTTAATAATTTTTCTTGAAAACAATTTTCTTTAAAACTCAAAAACTTGTTTGGTATGCAATTTAAAAATTTTAAATTTTACAATTTAAACTAGACAAAGAGATCTAAAAAGAGAGGGTTGAGAGAGAAAGAGGAGAGAGAAGGAAAGAAAGTAAAAAATGATTGGAGAAAAGAGAAAGAAGCGAGAGGATCGGAGAAGATGGAGAGGAAGAGGAGTGATAGAAAAAAACCGAGAAAATAATGAGAGCAGATTGGAGGAGAGACGAAAAATGGGGAAAAAAAAAGGAGAAGGGTAGAGAGAAAGAAGAAATGAGAGAGATAGCTTTGGAGTGAGAGGGGAGGAGGGAGAGAAAAAAAAATGAGTGAGTTTAAGTTTAAAAATTCTAAAAACTCATTTTTTTTTGTGTTTTTAGAGAATATACTATATTTTTAAGTTAATCTTGAGTTCAGTTTTTATAAATAGTCATACCAAACAAGTTTTTAAAGCCTAAAACTTAAAAATTATTTTTGAGTTTAAAAAATTGGATTCAAGTAAAATAACAAAAAGACTCTAAGAGTCCCATGGAAATTATTTTAATTAACTCTGCAGAGACTTCATCTTAAAGTTTCGATCAAACCTGTAAACATGGCAAGATCTTCCCGGACCCTCAGTCCACTGCCGTCAAAAAGATACAGAATAATGCCAAAGCAGATGCTCGAGAAGTCAATGTTGCTGGACCTCCACTGTGTTCGTTGTTAAATGTTTAAATCTAAATGTACAGCTGGGTTTTGTTTCTTTCGTTATTTTCTTGTAGATTGTACGTCACTTGACGAGTGAGGCAGGGTGATGTGAATTCTCAGTTTCAACCGATACTTTTTGTTGATCTTGAGGGGCATCAGCATGTTTATAAATCCATTAACCAACCGACATCCATTACCTTTGGTGGGGGCTAATGCAACATTATGTCAATAATAAGGGCAGCTTGTATTGAAACTCTGAATTCTGGATGAAAATGGACACCAATTTGTTTATTTATTCATTGAGTAATGTCAGATTAATTTTTTATATCAAATTTGTGAATTATGTGATGTGTCAATTGTCATCATGCGTTACTCAGCGTGGAGACGAATTACAGATCTGTATTCTACACGGCACATCCTGGGTTCGATTCTTGGCGCTGGTGAATCACACGATGGTGATCATGGAGATGTTGAAATGTCCCTATGAATCTTACCAGCTCCTAAAAGTTTGGACTACCGTAACAAAACTGGTTCCAAGATGAAAAAGTATTCTTGGGTTTGGACTTGGATCATTAATAACTAAGCCCAATGTTATTTGAAACATGGACCACTATTTTTCTGGGCTTCTTCTGGGCCGTGCAGCAGAAATTTTGTATGACCAAAAACCCAAAAGAGGGAAATAAAGAGAGGAGAAATTATGCCATGTAACTCTGATTAAGAGGACGAATTATCTCAGTATTGGATTTAGTGATGGAATCCAATTCACCATCCAAACGATTAAATGGGATTGAATATGTCTGTTTACCCGGATTGATTTAAATCTTGAACAACCTAGTTTATCAGAGATTTTTTCATGCATCCAAAATACTGTGTGTCATAACAAATAGAGAATTATATTTTTTAATGTCGTTGCAGTTGTATTATATCATGGGATGCATAACTTTGTGTTTTGAGAACACTGAAAAATCTCTCCTAATTTAAAGTGGTTTCTCATGCATAATTGAAGATGTCATGCACACCTCTTTTTTTGTCGAAAGATAAGAATTATTAAACTCGAATCGCATTGTTTACATAAAAAACTAGAGTATTAAACAACCACTTTGGTTCAAAAGCATCCCATGTATGAACATCATCTATACGAGAGACAAACTAAGCCACTAGATGTGCTGCCCCATTACAACTGTGGGGAGTAAAAATAAACTCTATCAACCTTAATTGCATTTGCAAACCCTTAATGTCAAAGAGAAGACTTTCAATAACAACATTTGATTCTGTTGTTTGGTTGATCATATCCACAAGCCCCTTAGAGTCCGCTTCCACCTGAATCACATCAAACCCTCTATCCAAGCAAGCAAGGCTGCTCGTACACCTTCTGCTTCTGCCATCAAACTTGATTCACACAAAAAATTCCCCATTCCTCCCACCGCCTTAAAAATCCCTGCAAAGTCCCGTGCCACCAAATCATAGCCTCCTTGCCCTGTTTCTTTAAGCCATGTGCCATCACAATTCACCTTGATCGTTGCATGAAACGTATCACTCTTCTCTCCGCATTTGGAACTGGAAAGACTTCCAATGCGTGCAAAGTTAACTCTTAATTGAACAATTAGTATTGGCATTAAGCTTGCTTTGAAATTAAACAACTTGTCACTCCTCTCGCCAATAATTCTCCGTCTCGTGCAAAGTTAACTTCCATTTAGGTACTCAATTCCGAGTAATTTAGGAATTCGAATGCTGATATTAAGTGGAATCCACCCATTTCTAATTTTTTAAATATTAGTAGGGAAATATTATTAGCACTTCAAAAATCTTATTTTAGACTTCTCACAAATGTATTTTTCTTTCATAATATCATAAATTTGAAGTGTAAAATGAGATTTTTGAAGTGCTAATAACAATTCCCTATTAATAAATGCCAGAATACTTATGTACAATTTCATTTCATTCTACTCCTATCTCGTTTGATAAACGCGTCACCAATATAATGAATAATCCTATCCAAATTAGTTCTCCGTACCATACGATGCTCAAAGTCCTTTCTCTCCCTAGCTCCCTCACCAGTACTAATTAGAACTCAACTTGTCAAAAGTCCCACCATCACTCCTTCATATAAACAAATGCAAAACTTATAAAATGCCCATGCATTAGCTGACCCTCAATATTACAAAAAAATAAAGATAAAATTAGAGAATTGTTATTAGCACTCCAAAAATCTCATTCTATACTCCAAACTTTATATATTAGGGAAAGAAAAAATACACTTATGAAGAATGTAGAATGAGATTTTTAGAGTGCTAATAACACTTCTCTAAAATTAATGAAAAGATATTAGTGGGAATTGGAACAATTAAAAGTGGGCATCCTAATCAAAATCCACCATCATATATTAATTAAATAACACCAATAACAAGTATATATAATTAAATAAAAATAAAAATAAACAAAACCCACTAGTTAGCATGATTGACTTAACACCAAATCCATCATCTCTAAACCTAATCCTATTATCACTTTTCACTTCTACATTAAAATTCTTAACAAAAAAAACCCCAAAAAATTAATAAAAATTTAAAATACAAAGTACAAAGACGAATCTGAGTTTATATTGGCGTTCCCACTAATCCTCTTTGGAGACGGTGCAACGCATGATCGTTGACTAATTTGCAGCACAAGTCATGATATTCTTTGTTCTTCTTTTAATTCGAATTTTTCTTAATTAAAGAAGAACATCTCGGGCCGTTGGATGAGTTGACTTTCAAGACGATTCGAGGATGAGGGTGGCCGTTGGATCGGTGACGCTGAGGGAGTGATTGTGATCGCCTTCGTAGGTCACGATCAGCATGGTGGGATCGTCTACAGCGCGCTCCACGTGCTTGCGTGCAAGGCAACCTCTCTCGCTGCTACACTTGTAATACCCTCTGCATTCGGACAAAAAAAAAAGGCAACCAGACATTCAGAAAGCAATGCGGCTACGTTACTGAATTGATTGACTCGGAAGGCATTGACTCGGAAGGCATAAAACAATGCTAAACTCTAACATAGATTTTTAAGTGTGCTCGGAACAAACGCACTGAAAATTTTCTACGTTATAATAGTATCCCATATTAGTATGGGTCGTGTTTATAATGGCTTTATATTCGCCGTTAATTCTTTAAAAATAACTTAAAAGTAATTGACCGTTAAATGCAGCTATGTATTTCAAATACGTTAAAGTTTCAGTGTCTCCAATAATGGTTGATTAAAGATGACTTTATGTACAATCAAACAATCATTCAATAAAATTAAAAAGAAAATTAAGTAATGAATGAAAGAAAGAAATAATACCTTGGATAAGGGGAACCCTTGATGGGTTTTTGACCGTACTTTCTCCAAGAATAATCATCAGGTGGAATATCAGCCAATTTCATACTAATTGCAGGAACCCTAATCACTCTTTTCACTTTAAGTTTCCTGCTCAATCCAATTAACCAATTCAAGTTATTAAAAATACACAATTTTGAAAAAAAAAACCCACATCGAACATCTGAAAAAAAGTTGAAAAATCATGATAATTAATGAACACCAACCTTGTCTTCGAACAGTGGCAACGCCCAGTAGTAGAGCCGCACCGGAGACGAGAAACATTGTCGACGGAGCTGCACTTCCTCTTCAACGACGACGAAGACAGCGGCGGCCTACCCGAAGACGACTGCGACATGTTTGTGAATTGAAACCCAGAAGAGATCGATTGCTCAGCAGCATCCCCAGCAGTTAAAGAAGAAATGAACGAATTCGCGACAGTTTTGGGTGCCGAAGGCGAGAAGCTGATGGTAGCAGCAGCAGCAGAATCCATCTTTCTCTCAGCGCACCCAATACCTTTTTTCAACGCAACCGGAGTAGGTTTTTAGATGAGGATTTTGCGGCAGCGGCGGAAGGCGAACAACCGGCGTCGGACAGTAAACCTTGAAAGCAGAAGATTGTTCTGTTCTGAAAACAGAAGGTTGCTCTGTTTCTTGATCATGGGGTTCTGAAATTGAAGGTGTCGGAATTTGGGATACCGGAGCTTTCCGGAACCGAGCGTGGCCGATTCTTCCTTTGTCCAACAACGAAATGACCTTCCTGAACTTGGTCACTGCCATGTCCGCCACCTCTTTATACTCCGTTTCATCTTCCGTGTTCGACGACACCGACTGGTGATGGTGTTGCGAAATCAAGCTGATAAACTTCTCGACGCTCTGGATTCCGGCGGAGGCCGCCTCCTTCACGGCATTCTCCTCCCTCTTCGCTGCAAAACTGTCAATCAATCCCATCATTAGTTCCAGGGCCATTTACAGCCCTCGACACGGCATATGAGTCGGTCGAGAAACCAAAAAACGACGGGTTGTTTGAACTTATAGAGATCCTTGCTTGAAGATTAATACAACGGCGGAAGAAAAATGGAAAATAAAAGGTGGAAGAAAACAGAGGTAAAGGGGGAAAAGATGATTCGAGTCAAACAGAAGATGTCCTGCCTCATAAGAAAACAGAGCATTGGCCCTCTCTCTCTCTCTCTCTCTTGCTCTCAAAGGCAGAGGCCAGTGATGTGTTTCCACGTGGCAAGGTTCTGGCAGGGTCATTTAACTGCTGGAAGACCGTGTATAAATGATAAGAGAGAGGGAGTGATAAGGTCAAAAGGCTAAGAATAGCCGTTGGATTGCTGACTGAAGAGGGAAAGAAGGTTCATTGGGAGACAGTGTGGTAGAGTTGACCTTTTACAGCTTTTAATGCAAAAGTCATTGGTGTGAGGTGGTGGGGTTGTTTTCCGCTGGAAAACCGAAACAAGAAGTTCGGCAGGGAAACCGAAACAAGAAGATAATTGAGAAATGCTATGAGAATTTTTCAAAAATGACATGTTCGATGAATTATCTGTCATTTTATTTTTTATATAATATTTTATAATATCATTATAAGAATTGATGTTAAGTTGTGAAATATTATAGAATTCATAAAAAGTTTTACATTGAAACACCCTGCTTAGTATTTTTTTTAGAAATTAGCTAAAAGAACATATATATATATATATATGAATTTGAAAAATGGATTCTTTGATTGAGCCCCTAGGATATGACACTACACACCATCACAGACCGTCTCATGTTAATACTATAATATTATATCAGAAAAAAATTTATATGTTACTGTATAACAAGCACAAAGTATCACAGTAAAAACGTATCACATTCAAAAGTTACTTGATTTTAATTTTTTGTTTTGTTTGGTAAAATGAAAAGGTGGTGAGGTTGTGGGAGGGTTCGACTTAACCAGACACTGTAAGCTACGTCAAAGGCGCAACTCTTTTTGTACCCAAAACAAAAAAAAAAAAAAAAAAAACGGCTCAACTCTCAAGTCACATTGGATTCTCCTTGTCACCAACGACCATATACCAAATATCCGTTGGATTAATATGAACCTACTCGGGGCCGTTGATGCCATTGTTCATCCTGGTACGCTCATCGCCTAGTTGGAGTTTAGGTTGAGAAGTTTATGAACTTTGTCATCCTATCCTCACTATGAATCCCAACCATTCGTGTCTAACTTAACAACTCTTATTTGTGCACATGTCAAACCATTTGTTACTAGAAACATGTTAGTTTTAGTCATTTGCCTGCGTTTCAGAGACTAGTGTATATTGTAAATTCTCATTAATTTGTATGGACACTGTAAATTATCAATTCATTCTTGTGGCGCAATAAATCTAAGACTAACCGTCATTGACTAATTAAGTTGTGTCATCTTCTATGTTGATTATCCTTAGATGTTTTAGCGACGCTACTTAAACACAACAACAAACTAATGTTACTAAACAAGATATAGATCATCCATCACTATTAGATGTGTAACTTAGTACACAACGACATGAATATATAGTTTTTTTTTACCCGTAAGTAACAAATGGGGAAGTTGTCAGACCATAACAATTTTACTTTTGCTGTTGCTAAGATTGGTCATAGATCCTCAGATTCTCATGTTTGGATGTTCTCCCTGTCTTTTGATACTCAGTCAGCTTGGTTGCGGCGGTTGTTGCCCTACGGCTTCTCTTTGTAATTTTCTTTTATAAAGAAAATGGAACTCTTTTACTTTATTTCTAATATGGCAAACTGGCAATGTCCATTAGTTTGGTCAACATTCCCTTTGTTAGATGGAATTCGAACTGTGTAGCATTAGGATTTCAAAAATCAACACCTACAGTTACGGCAATATTTAGTCATAATTGCTATGACGTTGATAATCCTTTTTTTTTTTTTTTTTTTTTTTGAGAAATGGAAAAGAGACTCTTTGAAAGTATAAACTGTTCATGGGCTCACCTTACAATTTAACGTCAATTTTCGTACCAAAAATATGAGGTGACAGAGAGTTCGTGGAAAGTCTTACTTTTGAGAGTCATTTTAGCATTAACCTTCCAATTTTTTCATCTCTGCTTTCCATTCCCATCTTATGTTTGCGTGCGGTTCTCTATAATTTCGTGTTCTTGAAAATTTCTCTTTATTTGACATTGCATCTTTAGTACATGCCACAAGCATAATAATATACTTGTTTCATATAAGTTGTTCTCCTTTCTAAAATCAATATACACAAAGTTGATCAACATAACAACGTAATTTAGACTAACTAGAAAGGAGAACTCTAGTCTATAACGTTGTGTCGTTGTGAACACAGATCACAGAGGATGAACTTTAAACTTTTGTTTCTTTTATAAGTATTATATATTTTCTGGGAGCATCTAGCCTGTAGAATTTTTTCAGTTTCTTAATTAATCAAGCATAAAAATATTCATAACACTTTAAAATTATGCGTATTCTTAATTTGTTGTAGACAGCTAGTTGTTATTGCCATAATTAAAATAATCCATAAAAACTTAAAATTAATCCAATGTCTAACTTTAGTTCTTTTGTGATGCCTTAATTACTATTTTTAAAAGCATATTACTACTCCAAAATCAATATCTTGAATATGATTCCACGTACCCAAATTTTCTTCCTAATTACAGGAAGAGGATTATTATTCACTCTCAAAAGTAATTTATATGGAGTGTTTGCTGTAAGATCCTAGCAGAGCAGTAATATAAGTTCTAAAATAGTGTAACCATTCATTTAAAGAATCCAAAATAATGTAAAGCAATGAATGATAATAATTAATTAACAAAATACCTAGTTAATTAATTTGAACACAAAAAATGTTAATTGCTATTTCACAACAAAAAAAAAAAGAAATATGAAGTTACCTGTTTGGACGAAGAACTAAAGAATGCATCGAGAAGGTTTCTGGGTTTGCCCTTGAATGAATCATCAATTGTGAAGGCCACTGATAAAAAAAAAAAAAAAAACCTGCTATCGTTTCACCTCAAATGAAAATCCGAACGCTCTGAAATTTTTTGAAGTGAAGGAGTTTGTTCTTCCTATTGTTAGAAAGAGCAGAAGATATATAGAGCAGAAATTTTAGAATGGACGCGTGGCATTGAAGGTAGTCAATGGGAGGTCAAATGTAATGATAAAGTTTTGTTTTAATGGTATGATTTATTTATTTTTGAGAAATTTCGAGGAAATATGCAATGTTTGCAGGTAATTCTAGAGCCCCCAATTTTTGACTTGCAAAGTTTTCCTATTTGGAATTTTGGAGACGCTATTCGGTGGAGAAGACTTCCCGATTTGGGATCCTTGTAGTTGGCTTAAACGTCGCGTCCCACCCAATTACGTGAACACTACCATTTACAGAAGATTTTGGTTTGGACGTCAAGCTCATCATATTTCTACGTAATTACTGCATGCGTGCGAAAGGCCCTACGGGTAATTAATGATATTTTTTAGCGTGTTCAATTAGATATTTGACGCTATCCACCACAGTATGTCTTGGGTTAGAAACTATTACGAATTTCAGGTCATTCTATTCGGTTTGTCTTTGATTCGATTCCTAGCGTTAGTGAATCACACGATGGTGGTTATGGGAAGTTAAAAGTCTCTGTGAGTCTTCCTAGCCTTCGGAAGGGTGAATTGCCCCCATGCATCCATGTTCAAAACTCTCATCTCCTAAATTATTGTAATAGTTTCAAACCGTCCCCTCTCTTGAGATATATTTTTTTTTTTAAAAAAAAAGAAAGAGCCGCCTGAATTTCTTATTCTTTCGATTATGTTTTGTCTGTAAGTGATGTTTTTGTTTTGCCACCTTGTATTATAGTCTAGTGATATTCCTCTTTAATTGCAAATAAGAAGTTTTAGATTTGATTCTAAGGCATGTGTATATGACTACAAAAAGTTGAGCACCAATGAAAATACAGAAATTCAAGAGAGCATGTAGAGAAGCTCGAACCTTCCTTCCTTTACAATGTAGTGGGCTGCATATTGCATGCACGTATTTCTGGCGAAATTTTTGCACGTAATCGTCAGTCAGTTCTCTGCATTTTCCGTTATTTTTTATTTTTTTATGACAAATTGACTGAATTGTTTTGCTTGCGACTTGTTACTTTGAAATATGCAAGATTTTCAGCATCTCAAATGTAAAACCATATAGTAGAGAGATTCTTATAGTGGAAGCAACACTGGATGATGAGAAGACTTGACTACGTACTCCTCCTAGTTTGAAATGAACAAACAAATAACTTTTGTGGTGCAAATATTTGACTTGACTCGTCGATACAAGTTTCTAGCTGTCTAGTTGTCAAATTAACAGTGGCACACCTGCCTCTACTAGAAGGCTCAACTTTGAAACTGGATTGGTTAGGATTTTTTTCTTCGACCTACTATGTTTTGACTTCAAAATATCACTTTGTAATGAAAAAAATAAATAAAAAAAGAAAGTTCAATTGAGATTTCAAGATATTTTTCAAACAATGATATGTATCGTTATTTGGAACTTAGAATCTGTTTGGCATTTGATTGAATTACGGGATAGTTGGGGTTGAAAATTTGGCTATATTCATCTCTAATTACTGATTACTCTCTCTTGCTCTTCTGAAATCTCTAATTTCTTTCCATTATTCTCCCGACTTGGATGAATAAAAATATTGGAATATGATTATGATTATATCCATGAACGTTATATTCATATGGAAGAAGTTGTACACTTGTACCAAAGAGTTGTGATGAGTGTATATATGACTCAACCTTTGTCAAATAATACAGTTTGTTCAACATTTCTCTAACATACTTCTTACGAAACACCGCATTGTGATTGACAGTCTATCGCAGTGTTATCCATAAAGGACCCATGGCCATCACATCTTGTTTCTATCAAAAGAGAACAAATGGATGGCCCAAACCAAAAAAATAAAAAATAAAAAAACACCTAAACCCTTCTATATGCAAGAAGGCAAGGTTAAACATATTGAGGCCTGTATATGTATTGGCCGAAGGCTTATGTATTGCAGAGGGAGAAAAAGTTCCACAACCAGCTGCTGGTGAATTGTCATGCTCATGCCCACGCATGAACGTGACATTCAGCGTTGCTTCCATTTATGACTTTGTATGTTTCTGCGTTGTAATTTGTAGTGGAGGAGACAAGTCACATTCAGCAAACGGCGCTCACCTCTCACTTCCCCCTTTATTCGATCCATGATTAATTTACACCATGGGCTTCGGGGCCCACTACCAATCCCCTTCAGAACGAGATAAACGAAAAGCTTAACAGCTATTATGAATACGCTTTTTTTTTTTTTTTTTTAACATTACATTATTAAATTAAAAAAAAACTATTGAAAAATGTTTGAAAAGTTTGAGTTTTAACTATAAGAATAAAATAAAGGATAAAATAAATAGTACCAGAATTAATTTTTTAGTGTAAAAATATGATTTTTCGTTAAAATGAACAGTACCAAAAATTTTTCGTTAAAGTTCACTAAATTAAATTGTGAGTGACGGTGGACATAGTCCATGCTATTTTTGTTCTGCATGACAGCTTCAAAGGTTTGGTACTCTACATTTCCACATGGGGTATGTTGGTGACTCAAAGCCATGATTAATTTTTTTCTATTATATTTTTTTCATTTTTTTTATCAGTGTCAAATTGTTTTTTTTTTTTCTTCTGAATTTGAAGTGGAGAGTATCGAGGGGTTCGTTTTGTTAGGCTGATAACTTTTAAAACAAAGGAATCAATTTGCATCTTTCGGACCCCTCTGGGCACCACGTCTGTCGTCGAATCTTTTACCCTATTGATTCGTATTATTATTATTTATAAAGTTTTTTTTTTTTTTTTTCATAATTGACCTACGTTTTTATTAAAGATTGGTTTAACAAATATGTTCAACAACCGCGTTTTCAATCATTTTAAAAACACTCCAGGTTCCAAACAAACTCTTAATGGTCGGATTGAGAAGTTTGTCGCAACTATTTACACTAGAAAAGTATTAGCACATTCTGGCGAAATGAAATATCATGTTCCATTTATTAAGCAAATTACAACGAGTATTGGGAATGAAGCACTTTTGATAAAAGACAATGCCAAAGTCATGACAGATTTTACAGAGTATATTTGCTAAATTCACAACAATCCGTAAATCCTTCAACTGATAAAATGCAACACATAATAGATAGAGCCCTATATACAAATCAGCGTCTGAAGTAATCCATGAGAAACCATCCTTTTCTTGGAATCTAAATTATGATTAAGAGCGTAATCGCGGGTATGATTAACGAAGAAGGTAATATCAAGCATGCTTTGCTGGTTTTCTTCTTTCTTAAATTTTGTTAAACCACTGCATCAAGGTTTATGTGTTTGCTTAAGCACTGCTGCTCTTTCCACCACCAATGGCCCAGTGAGGTTTTGCGGGGGTGCGCTTCAATGCCTTCACCCCCAGCGGATTGCCCTTGCTCTGTTTCAACACGAAAGCAAAACAATGTAAGAAAACAATTTAACGGGCGACAAACGAAATACAATTAAAATTAAAAACGAAATGGTTATCAATGAGGCTTTAGGTGTTCTTACCATCAGACAAGCTCCGGCATTGACATCACACACGGGATAGTCACTTGGGCAGCAACTGTAATGGTCGTCACAGCAGGTGGCACCTTCAAGTGGACAACATCCCCAAGCAAAGCAATAGTTTGCATACTCATAGATACAGCAGCAGGTGTTGCTCTCAGGGCAGGAGTAGTAGTTGTCACAAACTGACGGGGGCTTTACCGGCGACGGAGGAGAAGGGCCAGGGTTAGGGGGATTCTGGCCTTCCTTGATGGGGTAAGAAGGCTCCATGGCAATTCCACATATCCCATTGGCGGTGTTGCCCAGATTACGCTGCATCCTGATGTATCCCTCCTCTCCCCAGCTTCCACCCCATGAGTTTCTCACTATCCAGTAATCAAGTCCGTCGTCTGTGCCATATCCCACAACTGTAACACCATGGTCTAGTGCTGTCCCACAACGTCCCGTAAACACACCCTGAAATAATATTTAAAGCAACGCAAGTTAGTTAGTTCATGTTCTTCAGAAGCCATCAACACAAAAATATCAAACTTCATATGAAAATTTGAGGTGTTCTCGTTTCATATGCTATAATGGACGATGAAATATTCTTCGAGGAGTAATGTTCTCTAGTCAAACTGTTAGCAACATAAGTAATTGTTATACTAACAAGAGAGCATTTCTCATTGTTTTTCCCAAAGATTGTGAGACAAAGCGAAGAAAACTTACGGAGATATACAACTGGAAGTCTCTGCCACCCCCTTCAATGGCAACGGCAATTGGCTGATTGGCAACAGCCTTCTGCAGTGCTTTCTCATTGTATGTAGGAACATCTTCGTAATCGTCAATCGAAACAACCTTGGCATTTTTCTGCATAGAAGAAAATAAAGACCAAAAGGGTGAGACGAAACTGCTTTTCAAATTATGTTCAACTTCAGCTAAGCAAGTTACAAAGTATACTGATCACTGACCCTGTAGGTGTCACATGTGGCATCATATCCTTTGTAAGGATAGTCCTCTTCGCTATCAATGCCGCCATTGTTGATGATGAACTCGAAGGCATAGTCCATAAGACCTCCATTGCAGCCTTCGTTGTACGTTCTATCACAGTCTACCAGCTCCTGCTCAGATAGGGAGATGAGATCGCCGGTGACTAGCTTATTGATACCTTCCACGGCGGAGATAGTTGAGAATGCCCAGCAACTCCCTGCATTATATAATCAGAGATTCAACTGGTTACCACTCAAAATTATTCCAAGAGTAAATTAACATGATTTCATATGCAAATATTTGGTCATGGCAGTATCTGAACCTACATATCACTTGCCAGGGACACATGGTAAGGTTAGAGCAAATGCATCAACTAATTATTTCTCCGATAATTATGATACGCTGGTCCAATTGAGTTCTAGTTGAATCCTAAACTATCTACTTTTTCGGAGAATTTATATCACAAAACCAACGAATTACAAGGAGAGCCTGATAAGAGGACCCTTTTACTTCAATGAAGCTGAGATTCTTGTGTCAGATATTTTTACCTGTTCTTTTTCCTACCACAAAAGTAGGAAGATAGTTTTATCCATTTTTCATTTTTACAACACAAAAAATTGGAATTATGTTCACATGTGTGGTCTCAAAATACATGGTAACTCCTGGAAACATGGAAACTGCAAAATCTATGTCTGAAACTTTGGATTACGAAATTATCAGCGACCATCAGCTGTTAAGTGAACGATCGAAGGTTGATTTACGTTAAAACACCTTTGATTAAGCAACAAACAATCAGATATGAAAGTCAACGACTCCCTAATCACACACCTTGCTCTATCATCAAGCAAACCCAAAAGTCTAAACGGATTATGAACACGCAACAAGATAAACATCAATGATTACTCATTAACAAACAAATAAAACCAGAATTATTTTCGTATTAACAAAAAAAAAAAAATTTAAATAAATAGGATTAGAAAAAACTTACCACAGCTGCCTTGGTCTTTGACTGCACTTACCGCGCCCTCCTTCCTCCAATCAACGGAGTCGGGCAACGAATCGCCGACACGTGGCTCGTACCGGTCGCTCTTGGTGTTCCTGTTGGACACCCGCTTCATCTGCGCGCGGGTCTTGGCGCCAAGGTAAGTGTTCCGGTACTCCTCGTTCGACAGATCGGCGAACCTGTTCAGACCGAGCTTGTAGCTGAGGTTCTTGGAGTTTTGTTCGTCGATGTACCTAAGGTTGTCCTTGAAGATCTGGAACCTTCTCTCCTTCTCTCCCAAAGCGTTGTATGCCTTTCCGTGCTCCGCCAGCCACCCCTCGTATATCGACATCACCTCATCGTCGGTCCTCCAGCTGCCCGACGACTTGCTGTCTCCGAGGTGGTTGTTGCTGTCGTAGGAGATGATCGACATGTCAAGGGCCGATGAGACGGAGAAGATCGTGAGGAGGAGGACCGCCACGATCGGCGATGATCGGTACGGCCCCATGTTTTTTTGGTGTGTTTGGTTACTGAGAAAATAGGGAGGGGAGGATGGGAATGGCAAGAAGTAGGAAATGAAGGTGTGAGAAAAGTGAGAGGTGGTGGGTGCTTATAGAGGGGTAAGGATGACGGGGTCGCTCAATATATTTATTAAAAATAAATGGAGGTTTTTTGAAATAGTCCAAATAACTAAAAATTGAACCTATTTTAAAAATTAAAAATCACTAAACATTTGACCTATTTCAAAATGTAGTTTATAAAATTCGACCTATTTCAAATTTTTTCAAATTAAATTAACTTTTAGGATAATTGGATCTTATTTTTTTTAATGGATTACAATATATAAAATGTGTTCTCTCTGTTACCAATTTAAGTTCAAATCGATTTCTGTTAAAATATTTTATAATACATGATTTTCACATGGCAAAAAAATATTTAAATGACTAAATTAGGTTTTGAAAGACCATTTTGATGATGAATGTGAGGTGGCAAAACTCAATTCGGACTTAAACTCTTTATGGAATTCATCGCCTAAGTTTGACTTACATTTTTAACCTTATCGATAACAATGCAATTACACATAAAGAATGTGAGAAATGTTAAAAAAGATTCTCTCAAAAATTTTTTTTTATGAATTATTTATCCTTTAACAATTTAACGTTAATTTATACATAAAAAAATGACAAAATATATATAAAAAATCTTAATTTTAAAAGAGTTGCTTTAGCATTCCTTAAAGAACATACAACAAGTTTTGTTTACAAAAAATACACTTTTGCTTTTTCTTTTTGTTGAGAAATTAAGACAATATTAAAAAAAGTTGAACAAACGATATTCACTAAAAGAGTGCGTTAAACCTAATAATAGACTATCAATAATGTAATTCAAAATTGACTTTAACAAAAATCGAACATAAAACTTCTTACTTACCAATAATGAAGAATATTACTATACTCTAGTACTAAATGATAATATTGAAATTTTTTGAGTAATGAGAAAATAAAGAAAGTGGATGAGACAAATACAACAAGGAGTGTGGGACCCATCAAAGTTTAGTTTGGTGTGTAGCGTTTGTACTTTTGTATGGGATTTGGATCCTCCGGGGGTCCAAATCCTCCTTATCCAATAAGACGAACCGTTGTATTTTGATTTAATGATTATAATTATTATAATTTTTAAAGAGTTCCTTTTTTGTAACCGTTTAATTAAAATTCAACAATCCATGTTATTAGATCAGAAGAATTCGGACCGAAGAGGATCCAAATCCTTTTGTATGAGTTGGCTCATTTGGAGAGTGTCGGAAAGGACCTTTCGTGTTGCTTGTGCCCATTGTTTTCTTACCTTTCACTATCGCCCCACATGGTGTCACCTCAATTGTAATTTTATATTTTCCAAATCAAAATCAACTATGATTTTTCAAGACTCAAATATTCAGCAAGTTAAGGAGGCTAATAAATTTCTTCGCTGTTTTTTTTAATAAACGTTAGGGGCGTTTAATTGATTGGATTCGGGTTGGATTTTAGTTTCGTATAACACCAAATTTAGCTTTAAAATTGTTATTCTTATCATTTATATTTATTTTTATTTTTTCCTTTAATAGAAATGTTTAATTTTGAGATGCACTAGAAATGTAACTTAAATGTTTAATTTCGACTTCTCCCTCATCGGATTTTGCTTGTATTAAAAGAAAAACTCTTTAATATGTTAATTTCCAGAATGAAAATATTTTCTTATACAAACAATTCTAATTTATCTGATTATGGGTTTGGAATATTTATATTATATGACACACATGAGAATGGGCAATATTTTTCGGTTGTGACATTCATATTTTAGTAACCAGATCCCCTCCTGAGCATGGGGATCGGAGCCAGCTGAGCAGTCCATCTAAACCTTGAAATTTAATCCAATGACTACAAACAGGGAACCCTCTAAAGTTATAATATTATAGTCATTGAATCAGATTTCAAGAATTCAGATGGCTTGCTTAGCAAGCTCTGCTTCCCATGCTTAGGAGGGGATCCGGTTCCCATATTTTATACGTAAAAAGGAATTTGCCCCTCTTCAACCTCTTAATTACGGTCATACATCCTCCTTCACAAAAATTAATAATTGTCATTATGTTAGGCCCAACAATATTAATTGAGAAAATACAAAAGGTTAATTGCTGCTTCCGTGGGCCATGAAGTACCGTTTGAACTAAGTAGATATTTTTTGCAAATGGTCCCAATCCAATCAAAAGACCCACACACGACATTAAGATAGCTACAGGTCCGTGTACTACCTATCCTCGCTTGGGAGAGTCTGTAGCGTTTTATCGATCATCTCCTTTTCAATTTTATTTATTTATTTTGATTTGTTTATCTCTCTCGTTATAATATCAAATTATTATCTTCATATTCTACAAAACAATAACTGTTAAATTTGACGCAAATTAAAAATAAAAAAAATGTTTTCAGGATCGAAAAATAAAATGCGCATGCAATTAGAAGCCGTGTAAAGATGGACTCTTGTAGAGTACGGGCCTAGCACTTTGCCGTGAGATTTTTTTGATGTGATCAGTGGTATTATATAAATAATAAGATATATGTGTTAGAAAATTAATAAGTTAAAAAAATAAGATTCTAACCAATTACATATAAAAATATAATGTATCACTTTATTTCCGTCATAATAAAAAATTTCTCGAAAGTTTCAAGATAATCTACTAAGTTTATATTTTGGCGATTTCTAATATCACTGACAAACAACATAGCCTCCGTCGTAACTCGTACGACAGAAGTACGAAGTTCATCAGATTCAATCCTGTTTCAAGAAATATCAAAAACTCAGAGAGAGAGAGAGAGAGTGAGAATGTCTGGAGGAATCGCGCGCGGTCGTCTCGCGGAGGAGCGAAAAGCGTGGGGGAAGAACCACCCCCATGTCCGTACCCACCGTCGTCCTTCTCTTCTCTCCATATTATTTGCAATTCAATTTTCATTCGCCCATTATTGCATCGCTTGAAGTTGTCGTTTTTATGGTTGATTAATTAAACTAGGGTTTTGTGGCGAAGCCGGAGACTGCTTCGGACGGCTCCGTCAATTTGATGGTGTAGCAGTGCATCATCCCCGGCAAACCCGCTGTGAGTCCTTTTCTTTCTTTTTCTGGTCACAATTTTGTAGGGCATGCAATTGAAGTAGTAAGTTTGGATTGTTGGGATTTTAATTCGGAATTTGACTTGCGTGATCAGCTAGCCCCTCAATCGGGGCATCAGGGTTTTAGATTTTATGGGGGTTTTTTAATTTTATTGTATTTTGTTCTAATTATGTTTCACTGTATAAATTTCTATAGGGAATTGCATGAGGGTTTTTCCAGAAGTTGTTTGTTGGACTGCTTTTTCATACTATTGTTTAGTATGTCGATATATATATATATATATATATCTCTCTGTCTCTGAAATATATTATATTGAAGATAAGTTCACATTTTTTTAGCTTCATAATGCTGATGTATATTGGGAATGCTGATTTTTATGATGGACTGATAGTGGTTGCTTGGTTGCTAGCGTAACATCCTTACAAGAAATTTTCAGTGAGGATTACCCCAGCAAGCCCCCGAAATGCAAGTACCCGCAGGGCCGGGCTTTTTCCACCCCAATGTGTATCCTTCTGGAACTGTTTGTCTTTCGATTGTCAACGAGGACAAAGTAAGCAATCTCTACTGCTCTAGCATGTACATGGAGATGTGTTCGTTGATGAAGTCGTCCTAACGTGAATTTCTTTTTTCAGGGTTGGAGGCCGGCCATCATAGTGAGGCAAATCCTCGTAGGCATTCAGGATTTGCTAGGCCAGCCTAATCCTGCTGATCCGGCACAAACCGAAGGTTATCAACGCTTTATCCAGGTTTGTCTTGATCTTTAGGTGTCTCTCAATCACTTCTGTGACTGCTCATGAAATATGAACTGTGTTGACGATTTCTATCCTGACGTGCAGGAACCAGCTGAGTACAAGCGAAGAGTGCGACAGCAGGCAAAGCAATACCCACCTGTTCTATAATGTATTGTGCTTTTACTAGGTATGACTATAAACTCATTGATTTGGTCAAGATGGTCATGCTTAAGGCTCTCTGCAAGACGTGATCAACCTTATAAGTATGTTCTCGTTTGAATTGCAAATATGATTTGGTTTCAAAACTCTATTCTTTTTTTTTTTTTCCTTTTCTCTCCGATGTAGCCATGACATTGACCGGTGTCTTTCGGATGTAGCCATGGAATGTGTTATAGTTTGTTGGAGTTTGCAAATCAGAGTTACGGGAAATGTATAAGTGATTTTTGCAATTCCATTTTTCTAATTTTGGACTCCTCTTGATTCTAATGTTAGGACTAAATAAACGAAACGATAATTAAGAGATAAGAACAAGATGAGGAGAGCAGGGAGTGTGAAAATCACTACCTGTGTTACAATCAGAGAAGGTGACTGAGGGAAGGGATGGAATTTGGACCTTTCATCTCCACTCCCTTCTGGAGAAATTTAATGGGGCCTGTATTGAGAATTTGGGGGTTAGGGATTGACTTTTGTTTCATGGAATTCATGTCTTTTGCTTCTTTCCCCACTTAGGTTGTTATCATTCATTAACGTGTCAACTGCATGTCTGTAATGTACATCAAGATCCACTTGGCCATTCAAAGTCCTTTTCCTCATCAGCATCCTTCTAGAGAGTGATGAGATCCGGCATCATCGGAGTAGGATTCTCTTCTCTTCTATTCTCATCTCTTTCCCTCCTTTTCTCTCACTTTTGCCTTTTGTTTTATTATCTCTATAAAAAAAAATCAGTATAAGATGTTGACATGGTTTAATCGTAACCGTTCAAGTGGGAGGAGAGGAAAGGGGGGAAGGATTAGGTGGGCAGAGAATCCTCATTTCCAATTAATATCAAGGCTCAGTTACAACTTAAACAAAAGATTTGAGTTTTGAAATATATACAAAGGGGACCAAATGTTCTCCTGCAAAAAGAAAACAAATGAAAAAATATTTAGAAGGATATGATCCTGTTTCTATCTCTATATATTTCATGAGGAGCAAACCCTTCTCACTCCCACACGCAGTTGCATAT